TTTTTTTAATATATTTACAAAGGACGGATTTCAAACCCAGCCCGAGGAAGAAGAATGCACCAAGTGGCTATTGTCACTAGGTCACAAGGACCAGGTACTAATAATTACTTTTTTAAGTTAAGACACATTTAAAAAATTTATAATTTATTTATAATTTAAGCCATGTTGGAATTAAGTACCCGGTTCTCGAGTAGTGTCTAAATCACATGTTTGATTCAGGGTCCCTAGAAAAGTTCAGGACATTTAGGATACATTTGGTTAAAAAACTAATTTTATTAGAAAATTTTTTATTTAGGAAATAATTAAAAAAATATTATATAAAAAATTGAGAAGTATTGTATGAAAAATTAATATTTTTTGTAGTAAATATTTATTAAAATGTTATTAGGTAATTAATTTTTTTGTATTTAGTAAAAAAATTAATATAAAAAATAATAAAAAATTTTGTGAGCAATGTTAAGGGCACTCGCCTCCTGCACTCTCCGGCCAACACTTTATCTTTTATTGGGCCACGTTATTTTGGTTTCCAAAGGTTGCGCTGAAAGCTTTAAAGAAGCTTACGTGGCCCAATGAAAGGGGAAGTGTAGGCCGGAGAGTGCAAAAGGCGAGTACCCCTAGCACTGCTCAAAATTTGTTAACTGAATTCTAAATAAGAGGACTGCTACGTGCAGTCACCTTTCTCTTGCACTCTCCAACACTCTCTCATATAAAATGGTCATGTAGTAATCTTTAGCTCGTTATTCCAAGTTTTCAATCAAAAAGTTCACGTGGCTATTTTACATGAGAGAGTACGTGTTAAGAGAGTGTAGAAAAAAAGGACCGCATTTAGTATTCCTCTTCTAAATAATGAGAGTTGAGGAGAAACTCTTTAATTTTAAAAAATATACAAAAAAAAATTATGGATTGGAAATTGTATTAAGAAAAATAAATATTAAAAATATATTTTTTTATTTTTTTAATATTAATATATAAATATCTATATATAATTTTATAAAAAATAATTTAAAAAACAAAAAGTAACTTAGCAACCAACCAAACAACCTCTTATTTTTTACAGTTTGAATTTGCATATGCTCCGTGGATGAAATGCTTGGCTTGGTGGGGAGTGGTGCGTATCAGTCGTTCCACTCAATTGCAATTGGGCTCTAAAACAGCAAAGCGATCTAGCAGGAACAGGAGGATCCTATGTATTGCTTATATTTGGACCATTTGGCTGGTAAGGAATGAAAAATTCTTTAAAAGCAGCCTGTTTGAAGCCGCGGAAAGATTATTTGAACTAGTACGAGTGCGATCTTTCCATTCGCTAAATGGTAAACTGCATGCCTCTGGACCATTTGGGTGGCGAGGAAAGAAACAAATCTTTTGAAGGGAGCCTGTTTGAATCCGCGGAAAGACTAATTGAACTTGTACAAGTGAGATCATTCCATTGACTAAAAGGCACAAACTGGAGAGGAGCTTCTTCGGCTTTTATTAATATAGTACGTCCTTTGGCATGAAGTCAATTTAAGAGAAACAGACCATGCCAACCGGGCCTGTGGTCCAATTGGTTGGCCCCCAAACTTTAGGGTTTGGGTGAGGCGGAGATCAGGGTTTCGAGTTCTGCCACCGTCGTGAACTCCACCAACTTGCGATCTAATGGTCACGCGCCTCAAATAAGGGAGTGGAACGTTCACTTTCCTAGAAAAATTTCAGCTGCTAACAAACTAACTCTACTAACTTTCTAACCATCTACCTGGTAAAAAAAAAAAAAAAGAGAGACAGACCATGATGCGGAGATAAGGACGAAGGACAGTGGATAACTATAGCCAAAGAATAATTGGTTAGCTTATTACCATTAATTGCTGGCTTGTTCATTGAACTGTGTATCTCACTTATCAGTTCTATAGATTGAGTACTGTTTATATTTATTATTAATAATATTATTGTTTAAAATAATTTTTTTTGTATGTATTCGGTATTTTTATTTTAAATTAACTATAATTATTGTTTAAAATATTTTTTTGGAAAGGTAAAATAAATTTTATTTTATTCGAGTACAAGAACTACTCTAACTGTGTGTACATTCATCACTTTCAACATTACAAGAACAGAACCTTAAGAATTATATATTCATCTCACCGCATATCGACTGCAAAAATTCATAGCCATCTAAAATGAGGTAGAATATTTAAATTCATCCTCGAAGTTAGATAATAGGACGGATTTTATAACATACCTCTTTAGGCACTTTTAGTCCTAAAAAAGTTCAGAAACAAGATTTATAATAAAAAATTATAACAAAAGTAAAAATACTTCTAATATAAAATATTTCTTCAAAAGAAAACTTGTATTCAAAAAATCAATTTACATTTTGAAAGAAGAAGATTATAGATACTTATAAAGAAAAACCACTTTAACAAAATGAATATCAATATATATTAAAAAAATGTCAAAATATTTAAAGTTATAAAATAAGTTAAACTAAACTCATTTATAATTAATTTAAAAATTTTATAAATAAAGGTAATTTACACAAAAATTATATGAGGCAAATTCTTCTCCAAAACTTTTCAAAAGAACAAAAACTGAGTCATTGTTTTGGTAACACATCGATCTGTTTTCCTATCAAAAACATGAGGCCTTAGCTTGTACATACAACGAGTATGCAAGTCCCGTGCCAAAAGCTCCTAAATCGAGAGGCTGCTACCTCGATCTACTGATCTAAAATGGGGGGGGGGAATTTTTATGAATTAAAAGCAGTAAATAATAAGTTTAAACTATAAATTTGGGTCTTAAGACCCCTAGACCTATACACACAAAGAGCATAAAATACAACGAAACCAAACCACATAATATTATAATTCTCAAATCATACTCACATATGTCAAGGAATAATCAATGACATTTAAATTTAATTCATATACTACAATCATATGCTCAAAAATACGACGTCACAAGCGCAAAGCATGCAATCGAAAATCACACAATGCTATGGAATCCATTGATGTGTGCTAGCAACACTGTACTGAAGCTAATCATAGTACTAACCCTATTGCGCAAAGGTCCATTAAATACCTCGAAAGGTCCACTGAATACCCCAAACTTCAAGCTTAGGTCCACTTACTTCATAACCACAAACACATATGCATGTCAAACAAATTCAGAATATGTCCAAAATAATATTAAGACTTCCGATTGGAAGAAATTAAAGCATAGCGCGTGAACAGTAATCATGAACAGTATACGTAAATAATACACGTGAACAGTACAATTTACGTATAATTCCAGCAAGTAAAAATTCACACCCAAATCAAACATAAAAAGAAATAACTCACTGTCTTTCCCATATAAGCCCCAAAATTAAGAATATTTCTAATGAAATTGTAATACCCAAAAATAATAATCTTATAAACCAAAGAATTAAGGTCAAATCTCACCAATTTAAACTACCCAAAACTCTAACCTTAAATTCATAACTAAAACTTATATTTACCTAAAAAAAAACACCTTAACCTTGGCTGGGGAAAGAAGGAAGAAAAGGATGCAGGGGATGGCTGGAAGATGCAAGGAAAAAAAAATAGGGACTTTTGGGAGCCTTCTAGAGGCTTATCCAAGTTCCACCGACAAAGAAAAAAAAAAAACGTGGTTGGGACAATGCCATGTGGGAAGTAAAATTGGGATAATTGAGTTAGGGCCATTTAACTTCTACTAAGTTTTACTTAAAAACCCCAAAATTTAAATTCAATCAATTTAATCCCTAAAACTATAAACTAAATGACACTAATTTTTAAATTATTCGCTAAGGTATGTGGGGTGTTACAGATTCACCCCTAAACAAAAAATGAAAACAAATTCACCTACAAAATTTTCAATTTAAACAAATCACTCAAATTTCTTTTGAATAACGAAGAAAAATTGCTTATAAATGGAGTATAAGACATACTCCCCAGTCCCAACCCATATATATTATAGATTTCTTCCCCTAGTTAAAACAATTAGTATTGTAGCATATAACTAGGAATCCACTTAATGATCAAGTGCAACGCTGAATACACATTCACAACCCCTGTCTAATCACCAAACCTAACTTCCTTGCGCGATTTGGAGCAATTCGCCAGTATTATGCTCTACACATACTGTTGTTGTTTTAACGAACAAATCACACCAAATTTAATGTGTAACGATAACTAATGTTAATAATCTATCAACAATGAATTTATCAACAGTACAACAAGTTAATGTATTGTTGATGTCATTTGACATCATATGTTAAATTTAAGGTGATTTATCCAAATCAAAAATTTTATGAGTGAATATGTCCCCATTTTTTATTCAAGATGAATCCATTCCTACAATCTAACTTTAGGGGTAGATTTGGACATTCAACTCTAAAATTATTCCTTGCCTTACAACTATCCCTTCCTACTAACTGCTACTTTTGATGAGTAGTTTAAAGTATTGAACTAGAAATGAGTAACTAAAATAAATTTTGAATCTATAAATTAAATATTAAACCTCCAATTTGGTTCTTTAGCTATTGTATAAACCCTTGAATTAGTCCCTAAACTAAAAAGTCCTTGATTTGGTCACTATAGTTTTTAAATATGGCTCTTAAAGTTTTTAAATTTGATTCCAAATTAGTTTTTCTATTAAAAAAACTGATGTATCTATTATTTAACAACAGAAAATCGTTTCTTGACAACCATATGTCATATCAGATGTTTTTAAAAAGAGGGGACCAGCTTGAAACCAAATTTAGAAACTTTTTGAACCAAATCAAGGATTTTTTAGTTTAAGAACCAACTTAAGGATCTATACAATAGTTGAGGGACTAAATTGAGAGTTTAACCCAAATTATATTATTGATCTAATTAGGTATGATTAGTTTCCTCTTGCATATAAATTAACATGTATGTACATTCATTAAAGGGATTATATATATATATATGTATATTATTCAAGAAACATGTGTTCCTTTGTCTTAAATACATATACATTCATTAACAGTCTGTTTGGTAACATGAATTTCATACAGTGTATTTGAATTTTAAATTGAAATTCAATATCACTACTTGTTTTTACATAAATAAAAGGTAATTGAATTTAAGTGAAATACATGTATTTAGCCGAAGTAATTCAAAAGACTAAAATCTGTGTGTTTCAATTTCACTCTCGAACCCATGAATTTCAATTTCAAAAGGAATTTCCTCTCCACTCTCTCCTTTCACCGACGGCAATGAAGCCTCCATCATTCGTCATCATTGACTTTGCCGTCGCTCTCGAACCTCGTCGACCACTCGATTCCAGTTTCGATTTCCATTTTGGGGTCTCCTTTTCTACCTTATCTCACCGCAACCAATGCGTATTCCATCCAAGGTATAAAAAATGGATAACTTGTCAAGGCGTGATCCTTCGAGGTGATGAGTCTATTTGTGGCGGAACTGAAACAAAAGGCAGATTAATGATAAGTTTTCCTGCTTAATTAAGAAAACGGAAAGAAATCATAAGAACGAGTCAATTATAAAAGAATCAAGCAGCATACCATTTCATGGGGATGTAGAGATCCATGTTTTGTCCCTCTTCGTTCTGCATCTTGGCGGCGACGATGGAGAGATGTCCCTGGGGTTGGTCGACGGCGGTTAGCTAGAGGTTTACCAAGGATGCAAGTGAACGGTGCGGGAGGGAGACGTGGGTTAATACATGCTAGGTTTCGGAGGTTGCAACTTAGGCCGAGAGAAGAGTCTTGAGTTGAGCTTGGGTCTGTTAGTGTTAGGCCTAGTATGAAATTTAGCTTGAACAATGAACTATGTAAAAGTTAAAACTCTTGGGTTGGACGCTTACCCAAGAAAATTTTTGGGTTGGCTCAGTTAAATAATGGGCTTAAAAGCTGTTCCTTTTTTTGGTCATAAACAATATATTTTTCTTTTGTGCTCAGCTTGTCAAGGCAAATTCCATCCAAGGTATAAAAAATGGGTGTGCGCATTGTTTTTATATATTCACCAAGAGTTTGATGTTTTTGGGAGCAATTTGACTAACCAAAATTAATAATACTGCATGGTAGTGACTAAATCACCTTGTTGGCTATCTAGTTTATTAACTATCATCCTAGTTTTATTTATTTTTAAATGATAATCATCATCACAATATTAGTTTGTTCTTTACTCTCATTAATTTCTCTCTTGGCTTGTTACATTTTAGTTTTTCGATGGATATGGATATCATGAAACATCATTTGTTGAATATATATTCTTTTGGCCCTTGAATACTTGGTTTTCCTATGTTTGATTAGTTTACTGTTGATAATGTATGATGTAAGATCTCTACCTTCTCAACAAAATTTGAATATTGTATGACAATGAAAAAATGAACAAAAAATGAAAAATATGATAACAAATTGATTAGTGGAGGTCATTATTCCTTTTTTTCTTATCCAATTTGTTTGTCTTAAGGTAATTTAAATAATGTTTTGAAAATTAAAATTGTAAACTTTGACTTTATTAAATTTAAATAATAATTAAAAAAAATTTTAATTTAATAGAGAAATTCAATTTTAAATACATTGTATTTTAAAATATCCAAACAATGTATTTAAAAGTACATGTATTTGAAATT